AGAAGTGTCACGACTTTTCAAAAATATCGTCAAAACCGGAAGGACAGCATTTATGCTATTGGATGTATCTCACAATTAATCATCATACACTTAATGGCCATTTTGCACAGGGTAATGAAACTCAAAATTTATTGCAATTTATTATGACCATTGCAATTATTAATTAGAACGTTCCAAATGTAACATTTCATCACTGGTTGGTTTCCATTGTCTCCAATCGCCATTTGTCATAATTCTCATCAACTACCACACCCTGTTCTATAGTGAAAATTTAGTGAATTTATTGTTAAAATTAAAAGTTAATATTACTAAATTTTCACTAGAGCAGGGTGCGGTAGTTGACGAGAATTATAGTGAGTGGGGACAATGGAAACCAACTCACATTTTATATACGTAACATTTGGGACGTTTCATATTGTTATAATTTGTAAACAAAAATTTCATCAAAAAAAAATAATAAATTTTAGTGTGTAAATCAAAATTATTACAAATTAAATAATATTTGCTTACTTGGGGTTTGTAGGTCGATAATTAGAATTCTAAAGTCAGATTTTTAGAATTCAAAATGTCGGTTTCGAATCCGATGTCCATTTTCAAAAACTCAAAATGTCGGATACAATAAGACGGACGGAAAAATTAAAAATTATTTTAATTTGTCTTAATCTTGCTTCTAATGGGTTTTGAGGGTCACTGATTACGAATCCGATGTCAGTTTTTAAAAATTCAAAATGGCGGATCCTATATGGCGGTAAAATTTTTAAAAAATTATTGGATTTTTATGAAACTTGGTATCTAGGGGTTTTTCTTGGTCGTTGATTACGAATCTGAAAACAGTTTTTCGAAATTAAAAATGGCGGATCCAATATGGCCGACCAATAATGCAAAAAATTATTGGTTTTGGTTAGTACTTCGTTTCTAGGGGTTTTTTTGGTCGCTGATTACGAATCTAAAGTCAGTTTTGCAAAAATTAAAATGATTGACCCAATATGGCCGACTGAAAACGCAAAAAAATCATTTGTCTTTCAAAGAACTTGGTTTCTTATACTAGCGCCATCTACTTTCGTTTAAAAAATTTTTTCTGTCTTATTCTTAAAAGAAAATGAAAGAAAAGACGAAAGAAATTGTAAAATTTTATGAAATATTTTAATGAGTGTAAATGAAATTTCTCAAAGACTAGCACTTTATGTTTACTAGCATCGATGTAAATGTATGTAAATCGCAAATAACAGTCTTTGAAGTTTAAATGACGCGCCATTTTGTGTGTTCATCGAGCCAAAGAAGTCATGCACAAATCCCTACAATTTGCCAATCTATATGAATTTACATCGCGTGACTCGCACTATGGGCAATTTCGCCATTTGTCTACCCTGACGATCTTACTTTGATAAAAGCGCACATTAACGTCATTTTTTTTTTGCACCAGGAAGATTTTCTTGAAAAATATTGCTAAAGACTATTATGTTTTAACGAATCTCGATCTCCATGTTGTTATATATATATACATTGTACATATATTTATTTATATGTATGTGTATTAATGATTTCCTAGATGTATTTATATTTTTTACAATATATAATTTGTACTGCAATTGTTGTTACAATTACAGCACGAGTTGTTTAAAGCGATGTCGAAAGAAACTTTACAGTATTATAAAATAAAAAAAAATGTATATATATGTAATGTGGCACAATCCGGCAAAAATGCTGGAATTAAAAAGAATTAAAAAAATCAATTCCATTTAATACTTGATTTTTTTGTTATTTCGTAAGTCTATGTAAGGGATAGACATCAGCAAACTGGAATCCCTTTTAATTCCGTTTTCGTAAAGCAATATGAAATAGAATATAAATAGAATATATTTGAATGAATAAAAAACGTTTTATTAATAATTTATTTATTGAAAAAAATCTGAGTTATTTTTTTTTTACTCAAAATCTACATTATTCCCATAAAAAAGTGAAGGCGACTATTTTATATTCAACGCATAACCTAAAAAAATGTTGAGACAATTTTCAAGTTCAATTTTTGATGCTTCACGTTTAAATTTATTAAACTTTTTTACAAACATCATATTCACTGTAAATTATTTATTATTTTCACATTGAACAGAAAAAACACAACAAAATTTATTCACTATTACTTCTAAATAAAATGGTAAGCGAATTATTTTCGATGCACAAAAATATGTCCAATTGTCATATTATAATAGAAAACACACTTACAAACTTTTACGTAATGAAAAACGGATTTTAGAATTAAATGGAATTCATTTCGTTGGCCATCTATCTTATTTCGATAACTTCGAAAAAGTAGAAAAATCAGGTATTAAATGGCCATGGAATTCCATGGAATTAAAATTTTTTAATTTCGTATACGAATGTGAGATAACTTTAATTTCTTTTCTATTCCAGGCTTCTTGCCGGGAAATTTTTTTCCAACGGATTAACTACAATTAATAAATTAAATTTTTTGTTTAATAATTTTTTTTCCTCCTGGTGTGATCAAAATATGTTTCTAAAATTATTAGACAAAAAAAAAGTTTTCTATAATACCTTGCGTCAAAAACTCGACTAAAATGCCGTTCAGTGTTGCTAGGTCTCTATGTCGCTTTCCCCTAGATCGCTAGATATTTTCCACTAAAATTTTTTCCCCAATTTTCACTAGAAAAATAAAAATAAATGAAAAAAAACGTAAAAATCTTTATCTGTATACAGAATTTTTAATTTTTCACACTAATTATGCAAAAGTTATTTAAACTCAAAGAATCTAATAAAATTTAATAGTTCAATGTAATAAATATATTATTATGATTATTGACATTTTTTTGGAATTTAATTTATTTAAATATTATAATTACAGATGGAATAGACATTAAACTATTAAAAAAAACACGAACAAAACATAACCTTTAAATTCTTTTTCACTTTCTCAAGAGATTTTGGCTGTTTTCGGCGTTCGCCCTGGGTTAACTTTAAGTTAATTGTGATTGGTAGATCTACCAGAATGTTAATGATGATTGGAGCATCGTTAACTCTGGGTTAACCCAGGGTGAACACCGAAAACAGCCATTATTGGGATCTCTTGTACTGTAAGACGCTCTCTGGTGAAAATTTTTGTAACCCTCGAGAGTAGGTCGTTTTGTCTAATTTTGTCCAACTTCCACCAATCAGCGTAGGTTTTTAACGCGGTGTCGAAAAATGGTACCACTGAGAGGAGGTTAAATGATTAAGCCACGCCCCACAAGAGATCCCAATATCTTTGTACATATTTTTTTGAATTTGGCATATTCGGGATTTTTAATTTTTCTTTTATCAGAATTCAGTAAAAATTATTTTAAACATAATATTCTAAAATATATTTAAAAACTCCAATTGACAGAAATTATTTGACGAATAAACCTATACTAAACAGCAGTGCAGGGCTCGGCACGTAGAAGAGCATTCTTTCTTATAGAACTGCGTGACTAATTTTGATTGGCTGGGTCTGAAAATTCGCTCAATCAGTATAGCCAATGAAATTCTAATTTATACTTAGAGTGCCTGCACTTTTAATACTTCAGATACAATTTACATAGAAAAAATAATATTTAGGTGAAAACACTAAAAAATGCACTAAAAAAGAAAAAAGATACTAAATTTCCATACAAAAATATTTCTCCCACTAAAAATGTTACTGAAGGACCAAAATATTACTAAATTTGAAGACCACTAACTTGGCAACACTGATTTACACTAAGTACAAATTTAGTGACTTTATTGTTAAACATAAAAGTTACTATAAAGTTACTAAATTTTTATTAAAGCAGGGTGTGGTAGTTGACAATAGTTATGCCAAATAGCGAGTGGGGACAATGGAAACCAACCGTCGAAATGTGACCATTAATATATTTAGTAATAGCAAAAAATAACTTTAAAAAGAATCATGTTTAATAGTTTGTTTTTTTTGCAATACTTTTAATCTCGACAAAAACAATAAAGTATAAGTTAAGTAAAGATAATAAAGTAAATTAAATACGAATCATATTTTTATAATTTAAAAATCGTTGATACTCTCTTTTTTTAGATTATTAATTTTAATCTTGGACGTGTAATAATTGAAAATTAAAATTTTTAATTTTATAAATGAATTTGATAAATTCTAATCCATTTATGTAGTTATTTATTTATATTTAAGATACAAAGATATTTGTAAATTAAATAAAAAATTTATTTTCAAAATATATAATTATATATGGAAATAAAATTTTTATTTCAGAAATATCTTTATATCGTATTTTTAAATATAAATAAATAACTAGATAAAATGAAAAAAAAATTTCTTCTATTTGTGTAAGATTTGTTTGTATTTTTTTGTATATATATATATATATTTCCCCGTCATAAATTATTATACATATAGCTTACCACTAGTGGTAGAAACGAGGCGGAAATACTGTTCAAGTAGTAACTGGCGCTACCACCAGGCAGCGTGATCTTACGGTCGTGTCTGACGAAAATTCCACTTACCTACTGAAGCCTGACCAAATATTATCTTCAACACTTCTACTACTTCTCGTCTTAAACTTTGCTCCCTAAGTAAATGTTTCTTGAACTGTGAAATGCTCGGAAAATATTGAAGATGAAAATTAGATTATGAAATATATCATATTTTCAAATAAATGACTAAACGTAATAATAATAATAAATTAAAAATAATATTCGACTCCGAAAATTTCAGCGAAAAATAAATTTTTAAAATATTTCTACTACAAAATTTTCTTTTCAAAAACAACTTTTTTGTTTAATAAAATTTCTAAAATTACTATTTAATTACCTAAAGGTAAATTTTATTTTAGACTTAAATTAATTTTAATTCGAAAAAGAGAAGAAAATTCGCTCTCACTCGAAAAAAAAAGAAATAAATGATAAGTATAATTGTGTTTTTAATAATAAATGGATGTATAAATTGCATTGAAATTATTTTGTATTTAATTAAAATTGAAGGTTGGGACAATATTGAATTATAATTTAATAACCTAAGTTTTATTAAATTTAATCTTAGTGAAATACAAAATAATTAATGGCGAACAGAATTTGATATTTATTGTTCTTCTTCATCGTCTCCCGTTCCCAAAATCATGCCAATAAGACTCTCGGTGTCAATTCGTCCCTTATCGTCTATGTACATCATGTCATAAGCTTCATTAACTTCCTTCTGTGAAAATTTGTCTCCAAATGTCATTAATGCTTTTCTGAATCTGCAAAAAAAAATTATTTATTCATAACAGTTTATTATTATTATTTAAACTAATTAAAGGAAAAAAAATATCATACTTTTCTCCGTCGATTTTTCCTTGTCCGTTATCAAAGCTTTTGAATGCTTTGAGAACAACATCATCGTCATCGGCGCCTAAAAAGAAGCAAAATTAACTTATTTTTTCAAGAAATTATTTTATTTAATTAATTCATATTATTAATTAATTATATTGAATAATAGTTTATTATTGAATAATAATTATTAATATATATGAATTGAAAATATTTTTTTTCTGTTCACATACCTCCTGAACTGGACATTCTTGTTCCAAAAAGGTTTAATAATTGTGTGAAGTTTAGTGGACCAGAAGCTTCGCTGAGCATCTCATCCAATTCCTTTTCGCTGGAGATTTTTCCAACTTGATCAAAAGTAAAACGTAAATCACTCTTGCCTATTATTCCATCTTTATCATGATCCATTAGTGAAAATCCCTGACAACAAATAAGAAATATTTTTAATTTCCTAAAAAAATTACTAATTCATTTTTTTTTCTTACTTTTTTTTCTAAATTGTGAAGTGAAGGAATTTATATTTGGTAAAATAAATACAATTTTTTTTGGACATTATAACTCTAAGGAATATCCATAAATATAGCAGAAAATATAATTTTAAAGGTGCTTTTATACTTCCAGCATTTTGGTCAAGCTGAATTGAATTTTCATGGAAAATCACTGAATTTGGCTTTAACAATATTCAATTTTCACAGCGGAAATTGAATATTTGTCAGAGCCAATCAAATTCAGTGATTCTCGGTGAAAATTCAATCCAGCCAATTGGTTGACCAAAATACTGGAGTTGTAAAAGCACCTTAAGTTTACGCTAGCGTTTAGTGGCGCCATCTGTGAGCAAAGTTGAACAGTGACATTTTTTTTTAGAGGACGTGGAAGTTCTCTCTACTACTTTTTTTTTAGTTCATGTGAGACGCAATTTTATCGTTTTCTTTGCGAGATGGAGAAACAAAACTTGATTTAATTAATCCAAATTCATCAAAGTGTAATAACAATTTTTAATAATGAAAAATTATTCTAATTATTCAGTGAAAATCAATGATATTATTATTTGTAAACGTTTTAATTAAAAACAGGGATAATAATTTTTTTATCTAAAATTTACACTACTGTCGGATCAATTAAGCGACCACTTTTTTTTTCGACGACTATAAAATGATTTAAATCTACAAAAATATTAAAACTAAAATTTTTTTTATTTTATAAAAGCTAATAAAAGTCTGAAAGAAATGACACCTTGACAATGAGGCAATTAAATTTGCATTTCGATTATTATCTGCATGATTATGATCTACTACGTGCACAGCTGAGATTACCTAAAATTGAGACACGTTTTTTGTTTAACGACCTTTTACTTTTATTTAAAATTATTAATAATATTATTCAATGTCCTGCTGTATTAGAGTGTATCAATTTTTCGGCTCCCTCAAGATCTTTAAGATATCATTCACCATTTGTCGTTAACTTCCATCGTACAAATTATGGTAAACATTCTATTTTTGATAGAATTACGAGAGAATCTCTTTGATTTCCTTCAAATCAAATTTAAGAAGTTTACTATTCACCGCACAAAACAATGACAATTTGTTGTAGGAGAGTGCTTTAGTGCGTTAATTTTCGGTTAAATTAAAATTACGTTAAATAGAAACTCCGTTAAATGTAAATTAAGATTAATGAAAATTCATTAATATTTCGTTTGAACATCAATGTTCATTAAATTCTGCTTTATAATTAAAATTCAGATAAATGAAAATTTTGTTGAATAAAAATTCTGTGAAATGAAAAATCCACTAAACTAGAGAATCTGACATGAAAAATTCGATTAAATAAATTTTCTTTGTTTGAAAATTCGATTCAATGTAAAATTTTCTCCAACGTTAGGGTGGTTTTGTTTTTATTAATTTGACACCGCAATTGACCATTATTTCTATGACTTGACATATGTTTCTTATTTGGTAAGATTATTTTAAATTGATTGTATTTAATTTATTGCTTATTATTGTTATTTTATTTATTTTTTACTATCTATTGTGTTTATTCTTATTTTTATTGTATTTGTTTTTATTTCTATTTTCATTATTATTATTGTATTTAATTTATCATTGACTGTATTTATTTTTGATGTTTCACTGTATTTATTTTAATTATTTTTTTGTATTTATTTATTTGACAATTTATTGTAATTTTGATAGACTCCCTGAAGAGGAAATCATTTAGATTTCGAAACGTTGGAGTAAACCTTTATTAAAACAACAATGGTCCGAATGTTATCGATTTATTCATACGAAACCTTCTAATTAAAATTTACTGTAAAATTTTAATAGAAATTTAATAAATGATTCCTGTAATTTGTTAAGTTTTAGAAAAAAGAATTAAAATTATTTTTATTTGTAAAAATTGTATTTTTTTTTATAAAAATTTATATACGGTTAATTACCTCCTTGAATTCGGCTACTTGCTTTTGGGTAAACATGCTAAAGACATTTGAACCAGATCGTTTAGCCCGTTTGCTGCCTCGGCTCGCCCGATTTGATTCTGTTGGTGACTTGATTTCTGCTTCTGGTTCAGCATCTTCCTTCTTCTTTGGCTTCTTCTTCTTTTCCTTGTCCGCCTATTCAATTTCATAGAAATTTTCAATTTAATTTTACATATTTTATTATTATTTCATATATTCAATAATTAAACCCGTAATATTCAAAATACAAAATAATTTTAGCAATTTTTTTTTAAATAATTCTAATGAGGATCAAAAGTTATGTCTAAATTTATCTTAAATTAATGATCGAAAATTTGTTCCACTCAATTCGTGCCAGTTTTTTTTTTAAATTGACCGTTACAAAATGTATTTGTCACTTCATAAAGAGATTTAAATGAAAATTTATTTTTTTTAAATTATTTAATGTTATCGTTTTTGTTATAAAACCCATTTAAATATATTCTACTCGAACGTTAAAGAATTAATAATTATAGAAAATTAATTTAAATCACATATTCTTAATGAAAGTATTTAATAATTTTTTATTTTATGTAAAATTAATTATTTTTTTATTAATTTATTATTAACTATTAAAATTAACTATTGGAAATAATTCTCAACACAATTTAATTAATTGTATTAATTAAGTTAAAAAATTAATTAAATTGTGTTGAGAATTATTTCCAATAGTTAATTTTAATAGTTAATAATAAAATAATAAAAATAGTTAATTTTACATAAAATAAAAAATTATTAAATACTTTCATTAAGAATGTGTGATTTAAATTAATTTTCTATAATGTGAGCGTTCTATGTAATTATTTTCTCAATAAAAATTTTTTTTTATAAAAGTATAAATATTAATTTTTTGAATTTTAATTAAAATACCGAAATTTCTATTTTTATCGAGAATTCTAATTATGGACGGTATTATATATTCTTCTCTTTTTTTTTCTTGCGTGAGCGAAGAAGGAGAAGAATATAACGAAAATTAGAACTGACTCGGGGGGTGCGTCTTTCAACGAGAATCAGAGAGGGAATATTGATGCGTCAAGAAAAACTATATCGCCGAAGGCATTTCCCGGATCTTGCCAAGACATATATAGACTGGGCGCGACCCGACTCCGTTCAGCCTCTCAAATTACCAATGTGATGATTACGTAATTGGCTCGCTCCACAAACAAGATATTTCAATAATTTCACGAAATATTAATAAACTCATTTTTTTTTTTCCCTTGTACAAATAATTTTTTTTTATTTTTTTTTTCTTGTTCTTTATTTAATATTCTTGAAAATAATAATATAATATTAAATTTTAATTTTTAATAGCAATTTTTACAATAAGAGTTGATTAATTTTTACATTGTCAATATTATTTAATTTTTTATAATTAATTTTTAAAATTTTCTTTTTTTATTAGAAATTCAATTTTTTATAATTAATTTTTAAAATTTTCTTTTTTTATTAGAAATTCAATTTTTTATAATTAATTTAAAAATTTTTCTTTTTTTATTAGAAATTCAATTTTTTAATAATTTTTTTTTAATATTGTTAAAAATTGAAAATTAAAAAACTTTTTTTATAAACTTCTATAACTTTGTTTCTGATTAACTAAATATTAGTTTTTAATTTTTCATTAACTTTCCTGAAAGTACTCGTAAGAGAAAATTTTTATTTATAAATAAAATTTATTTGAATCAAATAAAAATATATTTAACTCTGAGCCTAATAATTTTTTATTTGTTTTAAATAAAAACTTTTATTTAGCAGCATTGAAATTTTTTTTCAATCAAGTAAAATTTATTTTAACCCAATAAAATTTATTTACAAGAAATTTACAATAAATTTACAATAAAATTTATTTACAAGAAATTTACAATAAATTTTATTTAATCCTAATAGAATTTATTTAAACAAAATAAAATTTTATTTAAACCAATTAAATATTTATTTGGCTCTGAGACAAAAAGCAATTTTTTCTTCAGGTGTGAGAAAATATTTGAAAAAATTAAGAAATTCAATAGTCAAATTTTTTTTAAAATGGTAAATTAAAAATATACTGATTTTTATTTTTTTCTTATTTTTAACCAAATTTTTTTTTATTTATTTATTTTTTTTAATTTTAACAAATCTACTTTCAAAAATATAATAATTTTAAAAAATTTTTAACAAAACTTCTAATATTTGTAGGACAAAAATAGAATTACAAAATTTAACAAAATATTTAAAAATTTATTTCAAAAATTTTTTTTCTAATTTTTTTTTTAATATAGCGAAGTCCTGCGTCATAAAGGATATAAAAAAATATCCAAACAATAAATCCTTCAGAAATTTTGTTAAAACATCATGCAAACCATTTTTTTTATTAAAAAAAAAAATATTCTGATTAATTAATAAAAAAAATTCACTAAATTCAACACCAAAATTTATATGTGACTGAAATAATTTTACAGCACAAAAATTTAATCACTTTAACTGCACAGCACATTAGGAAAAAAAAATTGTTTAACACCTTTTGTAACTTTGATCCTCATTTAAAATTTTTTCTCACTTCTATATTAATGTTTAAAAAAAAATGATACAAAATATTTATTTATGTAAAACACGAGGATTCACAATTTTATTTATTTATTTTTTTATTTTTTTAATATTTACCATTTTTGTTGTTTTTATGTAAAGAAATTAGAAGAGATGGTCACAGCGAACCAACTACTCGAAAATTGAGCGTGGACCTGCTTAAATATCTTCGGAGGGACCCCTTCCAACGAATTTTTGATAACAACTTATGCGGGAGTGGAAATTTCAAAAATACCAAATTGTGTTGCGTTACTTGATATTTTCATCTCTTTTTTTTTTTCTTTAAAAAATATAACGCCTAATTGAACAATAACAAATCTCAAAATAATATTTTTAAAAATAAAATTTTTTTTTACTTTTAAAAATTATTAATTTAATTTCTTTTTTGGTTTTTAAAATTATTAATTTTATTTTTCAAATTTCTCTAAATTACATTCAATTTAATAAAAAAAAAAAACAAATTAATTTGTTTTTTATTTCTGGATAATAAAATTACTAATATTGTTAAATAAATTCTTATAAATAATTTTTTCATGAATTCGTCAAATTGACAAAAAAGAAAATTTTGAACTTTAAAAATTTTTTTATTATTATTATTTCTTATATTATTTTATATCAATTATTTGAAATTATTAATAAATTTAATTTAATTATCAAATTAACTGAAGATTAAAAATTGTATAAAAAATCTATAATGATATAAATAAATGTAATTAAAAATTAACCAATTCACAAGAATTATTTATTGAATAAATAATAATTTTTTTATTTTATTTTTTTTTATTTATTATAATATAAAATATTATATTTGTTATAAAAGAAATAATTATTTTTTGTGTATTGAATAAATTTTGAATTGTTTATTGAATAAATAATAAATATTTTTTGTTCTATTTTTTTATTTATTATTATATAAAATATTTATTTTTGTATTGTAAATAAATAAATAATAAATTAAATAAATATAATAATAATAATAATAATAAATTAATTAATTAATTAACAAACAATTATTAATTTACTTTCATTATTTGATGATAAATTCCATAAGTGTATATCATCAATTTTGGATTTAATTTTAATTAAATGATTTAAAATCTCGTGTAAATAGTTAAGAATAAAATTCTTCTTATACAATAATGGAGAGTAAAAAAAAAAATCTGAAAAGCGGAAAAAATATGAAATAGCCAGAATTGAGTCAGTCAAAACCTATATAACCATGTATAGTTGTGAGCTACCTAAAAATAGCCCCCCTCCATATGTTTTATGTTGAAACAGATTTCCTCAAAACCCACTGGACCACTAGTGTTGTACGTTTACACTCCAGGCTGAAAATAGAACTGCAGCAAGCTCAATGGGATTTTTTTCAAAAATGTATTTATCATTGTCAGAAATAAATTTTATTATCATCAACAAACTTTATCGAAAGAGAAATTTTAGTTATTTCTATAAAAGTTTGCCAATTATTTTATACTATATATGAAAATTGTTTATCAGTAAATTTTATTTTTATTTCATTTGTAAAATATTAAATATTTTTTTTGAAAAATATTTTTAAAAAATATTTATTTACGAATAAAAAAATAAAAAATTTTAATTAAACAATAAAGACCGGAATAAGCAACTAAATTATTTGTAACATTTAGAGGATGGGATAAATTTATTTTCCAATTTAAATATTATCGAGAGTTAAATAAAAATTATATTAACACATGAAACAAATTTAAAATTTTTATAACTCAAAAAAAAATTTTGTTTTTTTTATAAGGATTCAAATTTTATTCCGATTTAGGGCAACAAGAATCAATAATTATAGTAAGGATAATAATAATAATAATAATAATAATAATAATAATAATAGGATAATTTATTTAAAAAAATTAATAGAAAAATTATTATTAATGGTTATTATTAAAAGTAGTCGTATAGATTATTTCAGAACTATAGTGGTAAAGATTGAGGCAGTTGAAAGCTTTAAATAAGACGGAAATTTTGGTCTCGCTACTCACGCGCAAACGAAAACTATTTCCGTGTTCTATGTGTCTTTTAACACGAATATTATGATGAATTTTAACATTGACTATATATCTACGTGCTGTGAGTTAAAAATATCTCAATAATTATAAACGAATCACAAAAAAGATTTTTTTTAAAGAAATGAAAAAAAAATAAATAAAAACCTATATTTAATATATGATACTCAGAGAAAAAGAAAAAGTATTTCATTTTAATTTGCAGAAACTTCTATACCCAGAAATATTTATAATTTTTTAAAAACATTTTTTTACACAATTAAAATGATGAATTTTTGTTGCGTCAAATTCAAAATTGGCTATTTTTAATCATTTTTTTACTATTTTTCAATATTTAAACATTCTTGTCCTATTTTTTCAACCATATATTTTTTTTTTTTCGAGTTTCATTTTTTTGGTCGAAAATTTTTTTTTCAAAAATGCATATTACCAATCGAAAGAGCATCAAAAAAGCTTTCGAAACTGATATTAATAAAAAAAATTTTATTTTGATATTTAAGAACTGTAAAACCCCAAAATTTTCACCCTCTCCTCTTCGGTAAATGTTGGACTAAATGAAAAAATATTATTACCAAAGATTAACATCTATGAGTACTACAAAAATCCCCCGAGTTTAATAGCGTGATCGGAGAAAAAATTTGTTGAACCTTGATTATTTCACCTGGGATCCCCCATATGTTTAATTCTAGTATAATGATTGTAATTTTATTCAATATTTTTTTAAAAGAAATATTTAATTGCAAAAAAATTAATTTAAACAATTAAAAATATTTAATTAATATAATCTAAATAAATTAGAAAATTTTTCCATTTATATGGTTTTTAATTTTCAGTAATTAAGAAGTTTTAAAAATTTGTCAAAACTATTAAGATCAGATTGACTAAATAAATTTATAACATTGAAAATTTAACACTCCAGTTTTCTCCGTGTTAAATTTAAGGCCAGGTCCAAGTGAGGCAGCGCCATCTACATTGAAACTAAAATTTTGGAAAATTTTCAACAGCCTTTTCTTGAAAACAAGAAGGTAAAATGCTTTTTCCTTTATGGATAATTGATTATTGTCAAGATATACACTAGCTAAAACTTTTTTTGAGTTAAAATAATGAAAAAAATTTCATGTCAATAAATTAAATATGAGCACTTTTTTCACAAAAACTGTAACAGTACTTTCTCAGAAACTACAATCAAAAATGCAATTTCCATTTGGAAAATTAATAAACGCTAAAAAATACACGACCTAAGATTTACCAATCACGAAAATAACAAAAAAATAGTATTTTAACATAACATATTTTACTCATTATGACAGCCGTTTGGCAGGTTATATATGTCACCAGACGTTTCACAGTTTTGCCGAAAGGAGGAGATTGGCGCTGTTGCTAACCATCTGAAATACATAACCTACCAAAGGGCTGTCACAATCAGTAAAGCAGTATCAATATGTTAAATATTTAATAAAATTTTTTTTCTTATTTTCGTGATTGGTAAATCTTAGGTCGTGTATTTTTTAGCGTTTATTAATTTTCCAAATGGAAATTGCATTTTTGATTGTAATTTCTGAGAAAGTACTGTTATAGTTTTTGTGAAAAAAGTGCTCATATTTAATTTATTGACATGAAATTTTTTTTATTATTTTAACTCAAAAAAAGTTTTAGCTGGTGTATATCTTGCCAATAATCACCCTGGCGGATTCGATTTGCGTAATGTCTACTTAACTAAGCGGACTTTAGGTAGACATTAGGTAGACATGTAAAAAAACGTATAAAAAAGCTATTAATCGACTTATTATGATAAAAAAAAGTTGATAAAAGGGTAAATGAATGTTTATAGAGTAAATTCGTACAAAATTTGTAATTAATAAAGCAATAAATAATTAATAATGAATGGAAATGTGCGCGAGGTACCTGATCAGTTCAGCTGTACAATTATTTTCGTGCTATTTTCATGAAAAGAATATAAATTAACGGCAAAAACAATTGATATTTATAAAAAAGTGTAAAATTGATTTAATTTGAGTGTTTGCAATACGAATTATTAAATAATAATTAAGTTTTTATCAAATGTGAATAGTGTTGTGAAAACCTGTGAAAACTAATGAGTTACTACATTACCGATCGCATATGATAATAAAAAGTTCTCGATGAGTGTAACAAAAAAGCTGCAATCATGTCCGTAATTTTGGACGAGAAACAATTATGAAATCAATAATTATTTGTATAACTTTATTCTGCATTTTAAAATTCACTTTTTATTTTCTTTCAAAGCAAAAGCTTGGAAGAAAACATGCTCGCACTGTATTGTAAAAACTGGTGGCGCCATCTCTCATATGCGATCGGTAATGTAGTAACTCATTAGTTTTCACAGGTTTTCACAACACTATTCACATTTGATAAAAACTTAATTATTATTTAATAATTCGTATTGCAAACAATAAAATTAAATCAATTTTACACTTTTTTATAAATATCAATTGTTTTTGCAGTTAATTTATATTCTTTTCATGAAAATAGCACGAAAATAATTGTACAGCTGAACTGATCAGGTACCTCGCGCACATTTCCATTCATTATTAATTATTTATTGCTTTATTAATTACAAATTTTGTACGAATTTACTCTATAAACATTCATTTACCCTTTTATCAAATTTTTTTTATCATAATAAGTCGATTAATAGCTTTTTTATACGTTTTTTTACATGTCTACCTAATGTCTACCTAAAGTCCGCTTAGTTAAGTAGACATTACGCAAATCGAATCCGCCAGGGCAATTATCCATAAAGGAAAAAGCATTTTACCATCTTATTTTCAAGAAAAGGCTGTTGAAAATTTTCCAAAATTTTAGTTTCAATGTAGATGGCGCTGCCTCACATGGACCTGGCCTTAATAATTTTCATACTTGGTTTTTATAGCAAAGTTTTACGCACATCGCTTAAGGCCTAAGCACAATAGAAACGTAACCGGAATCGTAATCGCAAATGGAAGAATTAGTAAGAGAAGAACAACAATATGTGACTATCCTTTTCTAACTCATTCTTCCGTTTACGATTGCGATTACGGTTACGTTTCTATTCTGCTCAGGCCTTTACAGAATTCAGTAACGATTTCTGACAATGTACGATTTAACTTACTATAGCCATTTTGTACACGGTTGTGAAACTCAAGAGTTTTACACAGAGATGTGTTGCTAAAGGCCAAAACATCCCAAATGTTACGTATTAGAAATGTAACATTTGAGACGTTTCACATGATAATTGCAATGACAACACATCCCAGTTTTCGAATGTTATGATTCACTACCCTGTATTAAATCGTTGGTTTCTATTGTCCCCACTCGCCATATATTTGTCATAATTCTCGTCAACTACCGCACTCTGCTCTAGTGAAAATTTAGTAACTTTATTGTTAAAATTAAAAGTTACTATATAAGGTTACTAAATTTTCATTAGTTCAGGGTTCGGTAGTTGACGAGAATGGGGACAATAGAAACCAACCAAATGTATAAAGGCGCTTGTATACCTCACCGATCCCAAGTATTGCGAACCGCAGAGCTGCGATACGCCATCTGGTGTCGACCCACTTGCGGTAACCATTTTTTATTTTGTCTCTGTCTAACATATATGTATAAAGAAAGAGACAAAACAGCAAGATGGTTGCCGCAAGTGGGTTCAGGGTTGAGTAGTTACACAAGATTTCGGATCCCAATACTTCTGTCGTGTTCCATTAGAGTAAAAGAGACAAAAGATATTTCTGTCTCTTTTACTACAATGATATACGACGCAAGTATATCTTTTGTCTCTTTTACTCCAATGGAACACGACAGAAGTATACTCGGGATCAATGAGGTATACAAGCACCTTAAAAATGCATAAAAAAGATATTAATTGTGATCCCTGGTGGAATTAAAAAGAAGGCATATTTTTGTATTTTCTACCCCTTATACACCCAGAAAAAAAGATCTCTTTGATTCAAAGAAATCAATTTGTTTGACAAATTTTTCTTTGATACAAAGAAAATTTATTTGTTTCAAAGAAATTTTTTATTTAATTCAAATAAATGTTTCTTTGACCCTACATATCAATATTAGAATTTCTTTGACTTAATGCACAAATTTCTTTGAAATTAAAAAACATTTTTTTGTTTCAAAGAAAATTTTTTTTTTTTTGAATAAAAGAAAACAAGTCAAAAAAATTGCTTTCTTTAAATCAAAGAAATCTTTTCTCTGTGTGTACATGTAAAGTATAATAAAAAAGCAAAACTTTTGGCTTCGCAAATTTTTCTTTTAAATAGTTTTATTAACGTCACCAAGAATGTAAAATTGGAAGAGAGTTTAGAAGAGATTCCGAAAGTTCAAAGAGGGAATTTATATAAAGTTCAATGAGAGGAGAGAATGAGTAGGGTGAACATTTATTTTCCGAAAACTTGTTGTCCGCACAAGTTGAGTACATATACGGTGTGTGTGTGTGTGTGTATGTTTGCGGAAGTGGGTTGAACTGAGTGGTGCTCTCGAGTAAGGAACCTGCCAATTTCGAGAAACGCTTGAATCGAAAATGAAATTAATTAACTCCCGCGCAAGGTTAAGTTTCGATGAAGTGAAAGCAATTTCAAATGCAAATGCCGCGCGCGCGGTTAGCCAAATACTTATTTATTAGTCGCGCAAAGGAAAGTTTATTCGAAATCTCTTACTGACTCTCATTCCACTCATAAAATTCAATTTACACACGAAGAATGCGATTTTCATATATATATAACCGAAATCCAAATATAAAATATATAACATACACCCAGAAAAAAAGATTTCTTTGAAACAAAGAAATCGGTTTTTTAAACTCACTTTTTTGAATCAAAAATGAAATTTGTTTGAATTAAAAAAAAAATTTCTTTGCTTTTACAAAAACCAATATTTTGAATCAAAGAAATTTTTTCTTTAAATCATTTTTTTAACCTAAAGAAAAATTTCTTTGATTCAAAGAAACTTTTTTTCTGGGTGTATGTTAATGTGCCGTCTAAAGTAAAAAATTCTCGCGAATATTATTTTATGAAAATTCGTTCACCCTGAGGATGTGTTTAACTTTAAACTTCATTTATCTTTGAAATTATTTTTACCTATTTTTTTTTTTTTTTTACCAAAGTGGCAGTTTTATTTCAATTCTTATAAGAAAATCAACGCAAATTATTAATAATAATAAAAAAAATGACGATAGTTTTAAGTACGAATTAATTGAGGACGCGCTCGACAGTTGGCGCTGTAAATCGAGATTCGCCCGCTTTCGACTATTTTTTCATAATAATTTCTTATACGCGTTTCGCACAACCGTTATGGTATCCTTATTTTCTCATCTTTTATATATGTTTTTTTTTCTATTCGAAATAATACGAAAAAAATTAAATCACGAATAAAACATTCGAATTTTACAATTTCGGGTAAAAGACAAGGCATATTTTTATTCTCTTTTTATATTTTCGTAACGTTTTTTTTTCTTTCCTCGATTCTCAATTATTTCTAATTAATTTAGCACACGTGAGATATTAGCACGATAGTTCATTTTTTAATAATTTCCTCTCACTCGCACTTACAATAGAAATATATTAAAATTGCAAAGTCTTAGAATGTCGATCGCCATTTTACGTGTCGCTGTTGATCATTTATTCCTTTTTTTCTATTTTTATTTATTTATTTATTTTTTTTTATGAACATTAATATTTTATTATTCGCGACTTCACTCTTTTCAAACACTGAAAATTCATTGAGACAGCGATTTTATTCGTCATAATCGCTAAATACATAGATCAAAATATTCACTCCAGTATGTAATTATATAAAAAGGAACAAAAAAAATACTTTTTATCATAAAAGTGGACATTTTTAATTATACAATTTTTAGAAAACGTACCTCTTTGAAGCCTTTCCCAAAAAAAAAAAAAATGATGGGATATCAATTATATATTATGAATATTTTAATTAATTATTAAATTAATTGTGAATATTAACGAAAAAAATTTTGTTTGTCTAGTTTTTGCAAATAGAAAACTTTAAGCGTTGACGAAATTTCACTGGCGAGAAAAAGATAAGAAATAGGTACATATTTGTATTCTTTCTTCAACAATTTTCATTAATCAAGCCACATTTCTGTAATTTTTTTTATCTTGCCAACATTCCAAAATTTTGACAACTTTCTTTAAACAGGGGAATACCCTTTTTTTCACATATATTATGGATATGCAGTTACGTCATTTTTAAATTTTTACAAAAGATTGTTTTTTATACCAATTGCAACAAAAAAAATAGTTTTTAATATTAATTTTTTTTTTAAATATATTGAGAGAATCAGTTTTAGACGACTTTGCAGAATTGACTTTGATATTTATTATAATTAAAATGATAAAATAAACCAAAATATCTAAATTATAAATTATAAATTCTTTTTTCAGAAATTTTAAAATCAATTTTTTGGACGAGGATCAGGATTGAAATTTTATGTGCATTTATATGTTTATTAGACTTTGGCTTAATTATAAATTTTTTATAATTTTTTATAATAATTATGGCAATTAACAAATTAAAAATGAATGTCAAAAATAAATTTTATATATACAAGATCAAATATATATTGTGAAGCAAGGTAACTTATCTTTATTAAACTAAAAAAAAATTCAAAGTCAAATTTACAATGTCGTTAATTTTATTTTTTGTCTAGCTTCGTTTATCGCTCGCACAATTTTGATAGATGTTTCCTCGGCTTTCTTGTCATACAATATAACTTGGTTTTCATATATCCAAGAACATTTTTCATAACCTCGATAAGAATCGAATTATCCGCTTCTATTTCCATTCGGCGTGAGAAAAATGTAAAGTTATAATTTATGATTGTACATTGTCTTTTTTTTTTGTTGCCTAAACATATAGATAACAAAAACGATTATTACACGCGAAACAATATTATATGCAATGCTTTTTTTTTATTGTAATAAATTCTTTATACAATTCACAACAGAACACATAACCTCAAACTTTATGCCAAAGAGGTTTGTCGAGAGCAATTAAAATTTTTGAATAATATACAATAGAACCTGCAATAAAGAATTAAAATTTCGTGAATTTTTTGCTAAAATGATATCCATGTTTTGAAAGAGGGGAAAATTAGATCTAAGGAATAAATTCAGAGAATTTTTAAATTATTTTAAATTTTGAATTGATTTGAATTGTTTCTGAAAAGGGTCTAACCCGATTAAAAATTAAATCGCTCGCAATTGGTTCCAATCGAGTGGATATCATTTAATTTCAAATAATTTTTGGAAGATCTGGTTATATACTTTTAACTTATGTAACATTTGGGATGTTTTGTCATTTAGCAACACATCCCTGTGTACAACTTTTGAGTTTCACAACCCTGTTCTACGGTTTCCATTGTCTCTACTCGCCATTTGTCATAATTCTCGTCAACTACCGCACTCTGCTCTAGGAAAAATTTAGTAACTTTATAGTTCCTTTTACTTTTAACAATAAAGTCACCAAATTTTCACTAAAGCAGGGTGCGGTAGTTGACGAGAATTATGACAAATGGCGAGTGGGGATTTTGACAAGTGGAGACAATAGAAACCAACCCTACCACACCCTGTTCTAGTGAAAATTTAGTGATTTTATAGTTAAAATTAAAAGTTACTATAAAGTCACTAAATTTTTATGATATTTTATTGTGTCATGCATTTTCATATAGAGCGTTAAAATCCATTTTTTAGTTTTGAGGTTATGTTACAATCTTGCCTTTTTTTCTTTAGGCCTGAGCAGAATAGAAACGTAACCGGAATCGTAATCGCAAACGCAACCGGAAGAATGAGTTAGAGAAGGATAGGTATATTTTTTGTCCTTCTCTAACTTATTCTTCCGGTTGCGTTTACGATTATGATTCCTGTTACGTTTCTATTCTGCTCAGGCCTTTTCCAATTTGACGACATTTGGAAAACTCCTGACACTTCTATAATAATTTTTTTAGTCCATGACGTACAATATAACCAAGCCACGAACTAATAAAATTATTATAGAAGTGTCACGACTTTTCAAAATGCCGTCAAACCGGATGGATGCAATTTGGTGTATAAAAAAAAATTTACATTTCGTATACATTGCATCCGATTGGATCCAATAAAAAACGATTCAACTTTCAGTGCCCTTATTGAATCCTATAGAAACGGATTGATGAAAAAAATTACCCTGATTGCCACTTATTCAGACCAATTCAAAGTTCTATTGGTTTCTATGCGGATTATTTTTTTTTTCAAGAGGATTGAAAAGGATAAAATTTTTTCCTCCTTTTCATATCATGCTTTTCGCATTTGCAAATACAAAGTTCTCAAATCTATTCCTAGCGTATTTTAACGATAAATTTTCCTCCACCTCAAAATAAGAAACAAGCCCATTTAAAAAAAAATCGATAGGAACCGATTAAAAACCAATTTCAGAATTATCTTTGAATCTGATTTATTCAATTTAATTAAATTTCTAAAATTAATTGAATCAGTGCGAATCAGATTCTATAAATATTTATCGGATTCTATCGATTGTTTTTAGTGCTTTCATTGCATCCTGAAACTTAACAGCTTTGATACTTGTCAGGTTCTAAAATATATCGATGTAAGGTTAGTTTCCATTGTCCCCACTCGCTATTTGTCATAATTCTCGTCAACTACCGCTCCCTGCTCTAGTAAAAATGTAGGAACTTTATTTTTAAAATTAAAAGTTACTATAAAATCACTAAATTTCCATTCTCATCAACTTCCTCACCTTGCTCTAGTAAAAATTTAGTGACTTTATTGTTAAAATTAAAAGTTACTAAATTTTTAATAGGGCAGGGTGCGGTAGTTGACGAGAATGAAAATTTAGTGATTTTATTGTAATTTTTAATTTCAAAAATAAAATCACTAAATTTGTACTAGAGCAGGGTGCGGTAGTTGACGAGAATTATGACAAATGTCTTCTGGGAACAATGGAAACCAACTGTATAAATATCGACAAGTTCTTCCGGTTAAAAGATATTTTAAAAAGTCGTGACACTTCTATAATAATTTTATTAGTTTATGGCGTACGCTTGTATTCGCCACTAACTAATAAAATTATTATAGAAGTATCACGACTTTTCAAAAATTCCATCAAATATCACCAATTTATCGATATTTTAATATATTTTCCATTTATATAAATATTTAAAATTATATTTAAATTCTTTAGCGTAATTTTTGAAGTTGTATACACTTTGTATAACAAAATATACATCTAAAAAAAAAATTATATGACAAAAGTTCATCATATTTAATTACGCATGGGAGGAACAAATTCTCGCAGAAGCGAAAAAAGCGAGGTTTAGAGATAAAATTTTATTAATGTTTTTTTTTTATTGATTGTCAACAAATTTGACCACCACTGGGGTACAAACGATATAAGAATCTAAAAGTAGAGCACCAGAAGCCGTATGTAATGAGCGTGAGGTAGCAAGAAAATTTTTTCAGTACAAGACAAAAAAATGACTATATAATAGAAATTTTTTCTCGCCACCAAAAATTGTTTCTCAACAACGGTTTTTGATTTCTAATTTTTTTTTTTTTTTTAATAAATATCGAAATTCGTTTCTGAGCTCAATACAAGATTTTTTTTTGGCAGTGTTATCGAACATTCTTTGACCCCATACAGTTGTCATATTGGAAGACAATTATTTGGTTTTTTTTTTTTAAGATATTTGGCACAGTGATTTTTTTTTGTCAATGAAAAAGTGGTAAAAAGACGCTTCGATTCGGCGAAAAGTATATATAATACGTATTATGTATGCTAAAGTAGAAAAGGTCGGTTAACGAGATGCTGAAAACGGTGTATTTTTAAGATTCGGAAGATTATAATCAATCCGAGTCGATTCTTGTGTTTCACGTAATTCTTAAATATCATTTTTTTTTTTTAATAACACTTTTCTAGAAACTTTGTCTAACCAATAAGAATTGCTTTTAACACTTTTTTTTCCATCCGCGCAAATCCGATTGGTCAACAAAAATATTACACAGATTTTTTTTTTTTAATAACCAATCAAAAAAATTTGCCGACCAATCATCATCAAAAGCATCTAAATAGAATTACTTCGATGAAATTGACTACTACCGATTCGGCTAGAGTTCCTACAATAATAATAATAATAATAATAATACAAACATTTTGCGCGTTTAACAACACACGAAAGTTTTTTAAATACAAAGTTCCCATAAAAAATCTATCGAGTTTTATGCTCTCGCCGCATTGGACCTGCCATATTTAAAATTTTGTCATATTTCACTTCGAATTCATTTTTAACAGTTTTTAAAACACTCCTGCACGCAGAGTTCCATAAAAATCGCTCATGTGTTATTTCGATATCTTGATCCATTTATAATATATTGGATCTGCCATTTTTTAAACTTTCCAACTTTAACGGTCATATAAACAAGCAGAATTCCCAGAACGTGGAATCTTTCATTTTACGTATGGTACTTTATAAAATTTGTTTTAAATCTTAGAAAAAAAAAAATTACTTTCAATTTTATGTGTATTTTTTCAATATTGTAATTTAAATTTCCCGCCTTTCTGCCATTGAATGTGTATTTACAAGAATGCGTTTATAAACTGCGTATTTTCTTGAGTAATAAGTGGAACAAAGATGAGAGTATCCGTCTTTTTCTTTTGTATCAAACGCAGTTTTGTAAACACAGCCTTACATCTTCAAGTACATTAAAGGTGTTTACACACGACTTTTAAGCTTTCAATAATTTCCCAATTAGTTTCCATTGTGCCCATTCGACAAAATCTCCACTCACCAATTGTAATAATTCTCGTCAACTACCGCACCCTGCTCTAGTGAAAATTTAGTAACTTTATAGTAACTTTTACTTTTAACAATAAAGGAACTAAATTTACATTTAGTTAGATTTAGTAACTTTATAGTAACTTTTAATTTTTACAATAAAGTCACTAAATTTTCATTTACATTTAGTGACATTAAGTAACTTTATAGTAACTTTTAATTTTAACAATAAAGTTACTAAAATTTTACTACAGCAGGGTGCGGTAGTTGACGAGAATTATGACAAATGCCGAGTGGGGACAATGAAAACAAACCTCCCAGAAACTGCAAATAGCGCTTTCTGATATCTGAAAATATAAAAAAAACTAACAGTAAATGCAGTTATAATGCACCAATAAATAAAATCTTTGGATAGAATATTTTTGTGTTGATCCACCTTTAAATAGCACTAATTTTAAATGTGATTTATCAGAAAATTATCTATTGGCCAGATGAAGTGATCAGTGAACCTATTTAACTGACACTTAAACGCAAAAGTGAGGTTAGGTTGACAATTGTAACTTCTAAAACGTTTAAAATCAGCATTAGCATATTTTAATGCTTTATAATAATAGAAGAAAAATTTTTGTAGCCGTTAATTGATAATTCATTTTATTAATTTCATTATTATAAAACTAAATTTTAACCTTAAAATTTCGTGTTTTTTAATAATGAAAATTATTAATTGAAGTTGAGATTTTTTTGATGAATTAAATTAAAAAATTTCCACTATGGAATCACTTTTTGTGTTAGGTGTGTCCTTTTCTATCTCATGCATCTCGTTTGAACTATTTTCACGAACCTATTTTGCATTGACCTTATTTCCAGGTCTTTGTAAACCAGCGCCATCTACATCGAAACTAAAAGTTGGAATTCATTTGTTCCCACTCGCCAAAATCGCCATTTGTCATAATTCTCGTCAACTACCGCACCCTGCTCTAGTGCAAAAATTTAGTGACTTTATTGTTAAAACTAAAAGTTACTATAAAGTTACTAAATTTTCACCAGAGCAGGGTGAGGTAGTTGACGAGAATAATGACAAATAGCGAGTGAGGACAATAAAAACCAACCTAAAATTTTTAACTGAACTTACTCAAAAACAAAAAAAAATTAAATGCTTCGTCCTTTAGAATAATTCATTATTGGCAAAAAATGCAGCGGCTAAAACTTTTTTTGAGTTAAAATAAAAAAAAAGTGATGTTACAGTTTTCGTAAAAAAATGCTCATATTTAATTTATCGACATTAATTTTTTTTTCATTATTTCAACTTAAAAAAAGTTTTAGTTGATGTATTTTTTGTCAGTAAATCAATTATCCTAAAGTACAAAGCATTTTATTTTCTTGTTTTCAAGTAAGTTCTGCTAAAAATTTTCCGAAATTTTAGGTTACGGTTTTGGCCGTTCACACTTTGATGAAATCTAGTGAATGTTTAGTAACATTCTAGTAATTTTCCAAAAAATTTCGGTTATAACTAGAAAGTTACTAAATATTCACTAGATTTCATTGAAGTGTAAACGGCAAAATGTTTCTGCATGAGGTAGAGTATGCATGAGTTTCGACGTAGATGGCGCTGCCTAACAAGGACCTGGCCTTTATAAAAGTTGGTTTCCATTATCCCCACTCGCTAAAATCACCATTTGTCATAATTCTCGACAACTACCGCACCCTGCTCTAGTAAAAATTTAGTAACTTTTAATTTTAACAATATAGTCACTATATCTTCACTAGAGCAGGATGCGGTAGTTGACGACAATTATGATAAATGGAGATTTTGTCGAGTTAAAACAATGGAAACCAACCTAAAGACAGAAAAGTTTTTGCCTGACGTCACAAATGTCGTTTCTTGTTTTTAAAAATTACAATACTCGTATATCAAAAAAAAAATTTAATTTCATGTAAAATATGACCCTATTATCTCAATGAAAATTGAAATTGAATATCAACTTATTGATTCCGCATTCTGAAAATTCTGTAAACAACTCAACTGCATAAAAATCGTGCCACACAATCCTAGAATACATCTTTTTTTTCATTACCCGCCATTTTGTTTTATCTGAAATTCTCGAAGTTGTCCATTATTATAAGAACTCTAGATTTGTCACGTGTTATATATTTACTGCCTCTTTTTTTGCTCGCTAGTAGCACCAGGGATGGGGAGTGTTAGCCGTGAAAAAATGAGAAGTCATGAACACACTTTGCCGATGTATTTTTTTTTTCGTATTTAGAATACACTTGTAAAGTACTTTGATCCGATGGTATCATCGATGACACATTTTGTGTCTTATGTTATCTAATTATCGTCCGTTGATTCGATATTGGGTTAAAGTAAACGTCTCGCGTTTTATTTTTCACCGTTTCACTAAACACCACTCACTATCATTCGTCGAATTAAGAAACAAAAGGAACGATGAACCGAAAAAAAGGAAAGAAGATTGCGTCTTCTTTTTTTTTTTGATAGGGCAGTGTGTTGCGGACGGTTACGGAGATGATCCGTATCCCAATGTTTTCCTACAAGTATATATACTATTCAATAATAAGTACATTTCAACAACCGTCTTTATAGAACTAGGTTTATAGATGTATTTTTATCGTATATGATGCATTTTTATTATGAAAACATTTTGAAAAAGTCTCTCTCTCTCTCTTTCTTTCTCGCTATCGTTCTGAATTTTCCAAATTCTGCCTCTCGCTTTTTTACGTACTATGTTAATAATAACCATTAATAAGTATATAATCTATCTATCTAATAAACAGCATTATTAAAGTCTGTCCTCCTCTTCCTCCTCGTTATCTTCGTTATTTTCCTCCGACTCCTCTTTATAGCCGGGATGTTCCGAGATTGCGTAATAATTCCCATTGTAAATAACTCCCAATTCGCGAAGGACATCACCTCGTATAATTGCCTTGATGGTCCAATTATAGCATTCCTCGCTCTCGCTCTCACGATCAAGTCGTTCAACGTCTAGTATCTTTGAGCTGAGTCTTTCGAGAATTATTCCAATGTCTTTAATGCTGAGATGATGTTTCTGGTCCACGGTGAGCTGATCAATTAGAAGGAGAAATTTCTCCGAGGTGACAATCTCATCCTCCATGATTGTGTTCTCGGTCTCAGACTCGGAACTCTCGTGGGCCTCTTGATGATGATTTCGATGATGATGGATGTGAAAGGGTCCTGACGCTCCATGACGAGCGTTTTCCTCATCGGCAATGTCTCTAAATCTCACGTGACCTTTTACAGTTGCCGGTCGTCTTGTGCTGTCGGATAGTGAAGAAGGAGGTTGGGGTGATGGTGTTTGGGTTTGGGTCTGCTGTTGAAGATGATGATGTTGATGTTGAGCGTCTTGAATTGGTGATGTTGCGACCGATTTATGAACAGCGATTCTCCGACCCTCTTCGTGAAGGGCGCAACAATGAAAATCGCATTCAATATTCGGTCCGCCATCGGCTCCATTAACGGGACTTCCATTACGTGTGACGGGTTGATGAATGTGATTGGAGCACTCGGGTGTGTGGATATGAATGGTGGTACTTTCGAAGGAGTTGGTGCCCTGCTTCACGAGCCGTCCGGGCATGTGTGACGACGATATCGAACTAGAAGCGACAATGGGACCGTAGGAACTATTACTCGGACTAGTAAAACTCTTCTGTACCATATCATCATGATTTATCACAGTGATTTGCGGACTACTGTAGCGAGGGCCAAGCTCAACTTGTTGGCTCGATTTTCCATAGTTGAGCTTATCGAGACTCGTTTGAATCACTAACGAGGGACGCTGTGACGAATTAAGGTCCACCTTCTTCGTTGGTGAGTACTTGGAGCTCTGGGAGTCCTGACTTTTTGACTGTTGCACCTGCGTCGAACGCTGATCCCAGTGCAACACCACTGTAACTCGTCCCTTATTGTCCATAATCTTCCACGAGGGCGTCTCATCATGTAACTCCAATGCGTGAATTGTCTCGCACACTATTTTCGGAATCGCTGAAATTGCTGCAAATCAAGAACAAAAATTAGCTAACACGTAGCAAAAAGTACAAAAAAACTATGGCAAAATATTGAGGTAATGGAATTATTACTGTAATTTTAGGTGCTGTGAGGAGGAGGAATAAATAAAAGAAACATTTTATCAAAATCGTATAATGGAAGAGTGAATTTTCCTATATAAAAGCTATTGTAATGAAAAATGAACGAAATCAACAAAAGTAGTTCGACAAGAGACAAATGGAACAATGTGGTGTGAATTCGTGCATGCAAATCAAAAAGTAGAATAAATTGAATGATTCTGTTGGAGGATGATTAGAAAACAAGTATATTATTGAACGAATTTGTGAAAATATACCGGCGCGTATGATGTCAACGCCGGTGGGACACCAGCGTTCTCCATGACGCAGCAAAAGCAGTATTGTATTATTTGCTAGGGTCTTGAAATAATCCCCGTCTTCAACTTGAGTTCCGTCCGATTCAAGCACCAACGATACACTCTCGTTCTGTGGAACTCCCAATTTTTCTTTACCTAATGGCCAGAAAAAAAATTACCAAAATTAGTAATCTCTAGAAATTTTATGCAAACCTTCTAAAAATTTAATAGAAACCAGTTTTTTTGAAATTATCACATGACGGAGCTAATGCAGAATGCAAACCAAAATTAATGAGAGTGAAAAGGATAACGATATCTTTCTGCACTCATGGTTTTTTTACTTTGCGGTTGGTTTCTTTTGTCCCTACTCACCATTTGTTATAATTCTCGCAAACTACCACACCCTGCTCTAGTAAAAATTTAGTGATTTTATTTTTAAAATTAAAAGTTACAATAAAATCACTAAATTTTCATTCTCGTCAACTACCGCACCCTGCTCTAGTAAAAATTTAGTAACTTTATAGTAACTTTTAATTTTAACAATAAAGTCACTAAATTTTTACTAGAGCAGGGTGAGGAAGTTGATGAGAATGAAAATTTAGTGATTTTATAGTAACTTTTAATTTTAACAATAAAGTCACTAAATTTTTACTACAGCAGGGTGTGGTAGTTTGCGAGAATTATAACAAATGGCGAGTGGGGACAATGGAAACCAACCTTGCACTCTGCATTTGCGTCGTTATGCGCCCTAAAGGCCTGAGAAGAATAGAAATGTAACCGGAATCGCAAACGCAATCGGAAGAATGATTTAGAGAAGGATTGACATATTGTTTGTTTAGTTACAAAATTTGACGCTTTACGCGTCCATGTGATTTCACCCTAAATATTCAAAAATATTCGAATTGTAAACTCACCTTTAATCTGTTGTGCTAAGGTTGGTTTCCATTGTCCCCACTTGCCATTTGTCATAATTCTCGTCAACTACCACACCCTGCTCTAGTGAAAATTTAGTGACTATTGTTAAAATTAAAAGTTACTATAAAGTTACTAAATTTGTACTAGAGCAGGGTGCGGTAGTGGACGAAAATTATGACAAATGGCAAGTGGGAACTTTGGCGAGTGGAGACAATGAAAACCAACCCTAACCATCAACACAGGTTAGTGTATTCTACTTATATCTTTTAAAAATGTTTTTTTTTTCTTTATCAGTTTATTTTATGCAATATTTCTTTTTTTTCACACCTCAAAATCAAAATAATATTATTCCCAATAGTAAAAAATGTAGTGAAATAAAAAAAACAATTCATAAACTTTTGAGTAGAGGCTGAAGCAGAATGAAGTTGGATACGGGAACAGGACATGAGATAGAAAAGAACAGAGATAGTTTCTGTTCTTTTCTACCTCATGTCTTGTTCTCGAATACCAATTTTAGGTAACGAAAATTGATTCCAATTTTTGTATCATTTCTATAAAAGTGATCCAAAATTATTATCGAAGCTTACCTCGATGTACCAATTCTTCAAAATTGCTAACAACCAATCCTTTCCTTACGTTACGCCAGCTGTCCCATATCTTAAAAGGTCTCTTGCTTCGTAACTCCTGTGAAAAAGAAACATTTTTAAAAAAAATTGCAAGTTTATTAAAGAGATGAAAAAAAATTTTATAATTTATATTCAAAGCCATCGGCGACCGCAGTAATTTAATTTTCGTCTCAGGCTTCCAATTTTCTACGTTTAATTATTACAAAAAATTGTACTGAGTCAACTTTTTCAATTTTTTTTTTTATTGTATGCGGCTATATTTATCTTCCGAATAATAAAATATAATTATGAAAAATGACTAGTTTAATTGCCTTTAATCGTATGACTAAATTTTATTTAAGAATCAAAAATTTATAGGTTATGTTTATGATAGTTTAATCTATAAATGTTCCACATTAGTTATGTAAAATAAATTTTTATTTTCAATGTAATACAAACTAAATTAATATATTATTTGTATCGAGAATTTATATCTCTGTGTATTTTCACTTTCAAACTATCATAAACATAACCTGTAAATTTTTTTCTACCCTTTCTTTAAAGCGCGTCACAAATTACTAAATTGTTTACTACAGTCTTCTACAATGCCATTATCTTATATTTATCAGCTTGTATCTAATTTAAGAGCTTGTTATGCGGGAGAAAAAAAAATATGTGGAGGTCGAGAATATGTGTGTTATAATACTCTTGATAATCCGCCTAGATGCTAAATGGAGTGTCCATATTGGGTCAACGGAAAATTAATTCGCCCTTTCACTATTTTCAAAAGCTCCAAATGGAAATGAAATATGGAATAAGGATATGACTTTTCCCTGAGATTCTTAGCCCGGATTCATCGAGAATTTGATTCTCATGTTCGCCCAAGCATTCCCATTGAATAACCGTCCATATAGATTAACTTCTAATTGCTTCGATAACTTAAAACTATTTTTTCCATTTTTCATCAAAAAAAGAAGTAGAAAAGAAAGTCATTAATGTAACGTTATGAATATAACGATGGAAAAGTACTAAAAACTACTCTAAATATGAATTAGTAAAATTTTTAACTAATTTTAATATGTAAAACTGACTTTTTTCTTTGATTCAAAAAAATCTATCTTCGTTTCAAAGAAATTTTGTATTTAATTCAAATAAATTTTTCTTTCAAAGGAAGAAAATTTATTTTTGAATCAAATAAATTTTTTTTTAAACTAACTTTCAAAGAAAATTTTATTTTGAATGAAAGAAAACAAGTCAAAGAAAGAAATCTTTTTTTTGAGTGAAGTTTAGAAGGTCATATATATATATGTATTGCATGAGAAGAAATTAATAAAATATAAATTTCAACCGCTTTTACCAATACAAAACCCATTTAGTTAACGCCAGGTGCATTTGTGCGAATAAAACAGGTCACAACCACTACTATCACTCTTTTTTTTCTTTTTGTGCCTGTGGCTGGAGATTATTTATTATACTTAGAGGTCAAGGGGCACAGGTAATTGCAAGATTATTTCTAATGAACATGAAGGTCTGAAATTTAAATATATTCCTCTCATTTCCTTTTTGACTGATGTACATATATATATATACATATACTTCTAACATTTTCTAAAAGTCAAATGCAGCAAAATTGCATTACTTTTATAGAAGATTGTACTACACACTCTTTTACAAGAATTACAAAAAATTTATTTTAAGAAATTTTTAAGTAAAAATAATAAAAATTTGTACTTTTAAATGATTTTATTGTAATTTTTTATTATTTTCATAAAATTGTTTTATTTTAACTTGTTTTATACCTATAACAATGAATCTTTTCAACTAACGCACCCTGCTCTAGTGAAACTTTAGTGATTTTATTGTTAAAATTAAAAGTTACTAAATTTTCACTACAGCAGGGTGCGTTAGTTGACGAGAATTATGACAAATAACGAGTGGGAAGTTACAGTTATGCCATGACATAAGGCTCGATTCACAATGTTTCGAGCAACTTTATATGAAAATATACAGTGTTTTGGTTGGTTTTCATTGTATCCCCATTCGCCATTTGTCATAATTTTCGTCAACTACCGCACCCTGCTCTGGTACAAAATTTAGTAACTTTATAGTAACTTTTAATTTTAAGAATAAAGTCACTAAAATTTTCACTAGAGCAGGGTGCGGTAGTTGACGATAATTCTGACAAATGGCGAGTGGGGACAATGTTAACCAACGTTTTGTAAATTTTATTCAAAAATTGAAAGAAAAATGTATTCTAGGACCCAAATTAATGGTGATGAAAAACACAATCTGTCAGTTAAAATTGTGGTTTATGCATTTCGTCCCATATATTTCTAATGTTTGTTTATGTACTGGCTTACGTCCATCTTGAATTTTTCCCCACTCAATTTGAACCCCCTAATGTTTAAATAAATGAAATAATGTAAATAAAATTTTTAATTCCATTAAGTTAAAAAAAAAATATTATATAAATTATTATAAATAAAATAATAATAAAAATAATATAATAAATGATAATAATAAATAATAAAATAATAATTTATAATAAATATTTATTTGTAATGAAATAAATTTTAATTTCAGTTTATAATTTTTTTACTTTGGGTTAAAGAAACAATCAGACTTTCTTTTTTATAATTTTATTAGTAGATTGGGTCGATTTGAGTCAGACATGTGACTGAAGAAGTAGAAACCTCTTGTCAGTAGTAAAAGTAAATATTTAGTCAGACTTTTAAACCGCATTTCACAATTTTATCAGTAGTATAAGCTATAAGAGAATATTTAGTTGGAGTTACTAAATATTTATAATATAATATATAATATAACTGTTGCAAAATAATTTTTAAAAAATTATGTTAATTTTTTCTTGATACCAATACAGATGAAGATTTAAACAATTATTCATTTAATTAAGATCGAAATTTCCCCTTCACCGTTCCAAAATAATATACAGAATTTTTCTCTTTGGTAAATTAAAAAAATAATTTTAAATAAAACAAAACAAAAATATAATAAGGCAAAATTATTAAATGATATTAAATATGGAAATTTTATTAAGAAAAAAAAATTAACACACTAAATTTAAGGGATGATAACATAAAGAAACAACAATTAACAAAATAGAAAATAAGGGGATAGTAATTATCCGAAACAGAGAGATAAGAAAAAGTAATTAACAAGGAGCAGTATTCAGAAATTCGTAATTAACACAAATGCAGATAAAAAAAAAGTTCAAATTAAAAAGTAATTTCGTTAAAACTTTTATTTTTTTCTCTCCTTTCTTTGCGTTGTTTCGAAAATTATTTTAATGTTATTCATAATTGAAAATTATAATTAGAGTTTAATGTTACATTTATTTTCAAAGATAGGCAATTTTCCATAAAGGTTCAAAAGGAAGAAAAAAATTGAACTTCTTCGATATTTTTTAATATCTTTATTGACAATTTTTTTTAAATACTTTTTCTGTATGATTTTGAATACCTTATGGATTTTAAAAAAATTCTAGTTTTTGAAAGAATAAAATTTTTGTGAAAAATTTATTTTTTTTTTAATTTTGATAACGAAAAACATTTTTTAGATCCTAAAAAATGTTAGGAAAGAAATTGTTGCCTATAATAATGAAAACAGTACACCGATAGAAAAGATTTCTTTGATTTAAAGAAACCAATTTCTTTGACTTGATTTCTTTCATTCAAAATAAAATTTTCTTTGAAACAAAAAAAAGGTGGGTAAAAAGTTGTAAAGATAGAGGATAAAAGTCGTTACAGGGTAAAGAATAAAATTGTGATGGATAAAAATGTTACTAAAATATTACTAGAAAAATGGATGTCATATTTGAGTAAACTGTCTAATTTTAATAAAATTATTAGTAATTTTACACTTAACTTTTTAAATCCACAAATTTTTTATAAATAAGTAATTGCATGTGGAAATATTTTGCCTATAATTATTGTCTATTAATAAAAATATCTTTGACTAATACAACTGACAGCTGACGACAGTGCGTAAATAATCAGAACTGGGAAATTACAACTCAACGTCTGTATTGTTGCACGAAAGCAGAGTTGGGTAGTAACTGAATTTTTTGTGCATATTAGGCTGTGTCAGTTCATCGAGATATTTCGAGTTCAAAATATGACGTCAGAGGCCTGGAGGGACAACAAACAGACGACACAATGTTATTCTTACGGGGAAGAAAATTTGTTTCCACTTTCATCAATTTTATTCATACTTTAAACACGGAAAACGCTTGTTGACATATAATAAAATTAAAATGTGTGTTGATAATTAATTTTGTTATATATTTGATTCAATTGCATTTATATATTCTCTGAATTCGTGATAAAATATAAATATTGAGGATATATAGAAAAGTTTGTTTACTAATCACATTTTACATTTTAATATTATTAAACAATATCCAGTATGCATGTTATTAAAAAAGATATAAAATATATATTTTAAGTGGGAATTACCGCAGCAGTAAAAGATTTCAAGTTAGTAAACAAACTTTTCTATCCTCAATATTTATATTTTATCACGAATTCAGAGAATCTATAAATGCAATTGAATCAAATATATAACAAAATTAATTATCAACACACATTGTAATTTTATTATATGTCAACAAGCGTTTTCCGTGTTTAAAGTATGAATAAAATTGATGTAAATGGAAACTAATTTTCTTCCCCATAAGAATAACATTGTGTCGTCTGTTTGTTGTCCCTCCAGGCCTCTGATGTCATATCTTGAACTCGAAATATCTCGATGAACTGACACAGCCTAATATGCACAAAAATTGCAGTTACTACCCAACTCTGCTTTCGTGCAACAATACAGACGTTGAGTTGTAATTTCCCAGTTCTGATTATTTACGCACTGTCGTCAGTTGTATTAGTCAAAGATATTTTTATTAATAGATAATAATTATAGGCAAAATATTTCCACATGCAATTACTTATTTATAAAAAATTTGTGGATTTAAAAAGTTAAGTGTAAAATTACTAATAATTTTATTAAAATTAGACAGTTTACTCAAATATGACATCCATTTTTCTAGTAATATTTTAGTAACATTTT